AGCATGCACAGTGTTGAAACAAGATTTCATGATAAAGGGTTCCTAAGGGAAAGATGATATGGATATGTACGTGTGAAAGAAGTGTGTGAAAGTGATACTAAGGTGAGGCTACAAAGGTTATGGTGATGGAAAGAGATGTGAGAAGAGTCAAAGATGATGACTCTTTAGGCTGGGTAGGCTAAATGATGTGGTTTCAAGCCCCCAAGTCTAGCTCTAAATTGGTAGGGGTAAGCATTGGATATTCTTTAACTCGATCATGCATGGATATAGATATGAATGCGGCCGCACCTCAATGTGAGGTTGCCTACATATTCGTTAGGAATTAGGCCAATGTAGCTCTAGCCGAACTATGCAGAAGTGTATGTACACCTCAAAGAGGTCTTTCAAGGGTTGTAATGTGGTTAAGTTGACGGTTTAAAGAAGAAAAGGGTACAAGGCTCAAGACCCGTGAGAATCCCCAAGATGTGTAATTGTGTATTAGACTTTGCAAGTTTTATTTTTCATATATTTTTTTTTTGTTTTCAATTTTGCAAGTTTATTTTCATTTTTTCTTCTTTTTTTTTTATTGCTTTTTTTTTTCATTCTTTGAATCAATGTAGGAAATCTCAGATCATGCGGTCCATCACTCACTTAGCATTCATGTTTCTCAGGCACGGTACCAAGCACTCGATGAGAGACGTAATTTGAGACGTGTTCATATCAAAGATATTGGAACACTTGCCCGTAGACATTGTTTTATTGTTGCTTTGCTTCCTTTTTTTCTTTTACTTGCTATTTGAACGTTATACAATTACACATCTTCCAATCCCAGGGTTAAGTAAATGTGGGTTGAAGAAATGAAGGCCAAACGTTAGACGAGGCTCAAAATGGTTGATGAAGAAATGGAATGTGATTGAACGGTTAATAGGGAATGACAGGGTTGCAAAGGTGCCTCAAGTCATTGGTGTACCTTGGGTTTAGTTCGGTAATTGATTTTTTTTTTTTTTTTTTTTTTTTTTTTTTTTTTTTTTTTTTTGAGAATGAATGAATGAATGAAAAATTCTATGATCGGGATGTAAAGGAAATTTGCTCATTTTATTAATGGAAAAAGTGAACGAAACACATGAAACATATAAAAATTCAAAATGGAAAACCTATGCTAGACATGAATGGGGGAATGGAGATGAATGATAAAGAAGAAATCATGAAATCTTGCACGAAGGATATGCTGTGCGCCTTGTGTTCATTACTTCTTGCCGCCTGGAGGGATAGGAAGTTTGTTTGCATCCACCAAGTCTTGAATGACGTCCTTCAAAGTCCAACATTGCTCTGGAAATGGCCCAATAGGTGTGATCAAATCTTGACCGTAAAGGCGATCAAAGGCCGCATCATAAGTCATTCCTAAAGGAGTGTAAGTTCTTTTCTTCTTGGGCAATGGAGCATCAAGAGCTAACACTTCATTGATATCAACTTGGCTTATATTGTTGGTAGTATTTTCGTGCTTAGAAGACGAAGAAGAAGGATGGTCGTTCTTCTTGTTTTTCCAAGTGTTATTATTGTTACTACTAGCAGTCTTTATTAGCTCATCCTCGATATTGATGCCATTGTCGTATACAGCTTTGAAAGTGTTCAGTGGAAGAAATATGAGATGTTCCCTATATTTACGAGTCAGAATTTGACTAAAGAGACGAACCATCTCTCTTTTTTGGGAGGATCTACCAAGAATGAAGCTGTTTCCCTCAACCTGTTCAGGTAAGCGGTGAAGCCTTCATTCTCTTTCTGTTTGAGAATGGAGAGTTCACGTTCAGAAGTTTTAGTTTGAATGTTACACTTGTAACGATTCATGAAACTGTCGGTGACATCTTGCCAAGTCGCAGTATTGGTTTAGTTTGAATGTTACACTTGTAACGAGGATCAAAATGGTTGATGAAGATATGAAATGAGATTACTAACTCCATATGGTTCGGAACCACAAAAGGAGGATCGGGGATGATGGTACGAAGTGAGTCATGGAGTCACATTCGCCCGTATTGACCTCTACTCGATTCTTATAGTGAAAAGTGATTCCTGCGATCTCAAAGGCATACAAACAAAGATTCAATTCGCTCCAACTATTATTAAGCTAAATTGGTTGAATATTAATGCAACATATAATTCTAAAATATCGTGATCACTTGATTTAATAACAAGATTAAAAAGGATCCTAAACCGATTGTCCAAATTATCTTATTAGGAGTGATTTTCAATTACATATTCCCTTTAAACATGCAATATAGTGATCAATAAATATAATAGAATAAACATTAATATTGGAAGCAATTTAACAATAAATTGTTAGTCAAATTAAATATAAAATAACCTAATCATGATACTAGCAATATAAAAATAAAATAAGTAATTAAATTAATTAATTACTCACATTCCGCGTGTTCCTTTAAATTGCTACATCATGAATAAACTGTTAGTAACTTCAATAAAAATGTAAAGCAAATGGAAATTAAATTAAATAAAGGTAGAGTTGATTTGGTCCAAACCCTCAGTTAATTATACCTTTCACGCCTTGGTTTAAGGACGGAACCTCGGGTTAAGTATAGACTTCTTGGAGTGTTTAGGGGAATTATTATGGAAGAATAAGGAGGCTAGAAATTAGGTTAAAGAGGGAGAAGAGAATGATTTTTGGTGTAAGGTGAGAGAGAATGATTATTGGTGCCCCGAACTGCAGAAAGGGGTGTCCTATTTATAGGGAAAATGAGCAAAGGGAACACACGGAACCCTAAAAAGATAAAAACCCTAAAAAATAACACCGCGACACGGCAGAGAACACCGTGAGATGGTGCCAGGCACCGTCAAACGGGGGATAATCCCGTGACGCGGTGGAAACTGGAGTGACGCGGGAAATATTTGATCTACGGGAAGTGAAAGTGCGTGAAGGATTTACGCGGAAAAGACACGAGAAAATTCCGTGACACAACAAACGTACCGTGATACGGAAGTGTCCACTATGGCACAGTACAGTACACCGTGTCACAGTATGGGAAAACGCGGAAATTTCACGGAAAAAGCACCGTGACACGGTGGGAAATACCGTGTCACGGCAGTAGGTACCGTGTCACGACAACAGGTACCGTGCCACGGTGGAATTTGACGCGAAAGAGCTTCAAAAATGGCATTGTGACACGATGTACAGTACCGTGTCACGGCACCAGGCACCGTCAGACAGGGGAAGGCACCGTTAGACGGGGCAAACTCCCGTGACACGGTGCTTTTGCACTGTGCGCGGTTTTTCCAGTTTTTTACCCGTTTTTAAAATCATCATAACTTTTGATCCGTAATTGGAATAAGGAATATAATATATAATTGGAAATATTATCAAGTCTACTTTCTAATCCAATTGGAAGCAGGTAAAATTAATTTTAAGATTTTAAATATGGCCGTTTTAGTGGAAGGGTGTCGGTTTTAGGCCGAGTTTAGTGTTTTGCTCATATCTTTTTTGTTATAGCTCGGAATTGAGCTTATGATATATGGTTGGAAAGCTTATTTAAAGGCCTATCCAAAAAAATAATAATTGAATCAAAATTTTATAGCCATAAAATCAGTTTCTCTTAGTTTTGCGATGTGGACACGATAAGTGGAAAATAGGTTATGGTTTAGGGAAATGAGCTAGAAATTGGATTGGTTCATGAAATATATTGGATAGAACATGGATTTAAGCACTCCAAAGATTAAATAATCAAGCCGACCAATAATGGCGGTGAAAGGTGTTCATCAACGGGTTTGGTTTTCGGGGAGACATTTTTAGGTGTCTACAGATAGAGAAAGTTATGCAAGAGTATTAATTGCTTAAGGCTTGAATGTGTATGAATGATAAATTATGTAATTGAAGGCTTTTATACCTTAGCATAACAAGGAGGAGACATGGGCTTAGAGTCACATGGGATGACCATAATAACTTGGGCCGTTGACTTGAGCTTGACTTGGCATGATTGGAGGCTTGGGCCTTGACCTTGACTTGGATTGAATCATTTATGGACCAGGCCCAATTAGGCTTAATTGGACCCAAACAACTTGCCCCCTAGACCCAATTTAGAAGGATGACGGGTCGGGTTTGGATTTAATAAAAATGGAGGGAAGTAAATGATTTAATTAAATAAAAAAGATTTAAATTTTTAAACAGTCATTAACGAAATAACTGTAATTAGGATAATTAGTGGGGAAGTTGGACGGATAATGGGCGGTTATTTAAAGGGGAGTGTGTTTAACGGTTACTTAGTGAGGTATTTAAGAGAAATTAAGCTCACTGACCCTTGAACTTCCCAATTCTAGAAATATAAGGCCGATTTTGCACTCTGTTTCCTCACTTCTTCAAAAATTCACACTCAAACTCCCTCAAGAACCCTCAATTCCTCTTCAAAACTTCGCTTGAGACCCCGAAATTAAGGCTTGAAGTCAACATTCGTTGCTCCGACTAGATAAACCGGCGAATTTCGCTTCGGACTAAGGTAAATTTCTTCGAATTCCCTTCTATTTTCTTGAATTTTGAAAGAATTCCCCTTTTTTCGACTTTTCTCTCGAAAATTCGACAATGGTTAGAGGAAGAGGACGCCAACCCCGATGATCAGGTCAAGCTCGGGATTCGAGGGACCGTCCCGATACTTAGAATGGGGAAAGAGTTAGGGCTGACCCGGAAGAGGGTATCCCGGCCGCCCCTCTGAATGCAGCGGCTCCCCAAGAAGAGGCCGAGGCTGGTGGCGCTGAGTAGGAGGAGGTTCTGCCTGCCGCGCCTTGGAATCTGCTCCCTGGGCATGTTGAATGGCAGAATGACGAAGCCATTGCAGCCATGATGAGAAATGCGCCCTATACTTAGTGGGTCAGGAACGCCGAGGCCTACTATTTCGCCGAACAGATAGAGTTGCACTATGACATCTTTGAGGCAGATAGGTACTGGTGTCGAATGCCTGCGCCTACTGATAGGATTCATCGTCCACCCCTTGGATATGTGGGGGTGTACACTCAGCAGTTACAATATGGGCTTCGGTTCCCTCTGAATCCCTTCGTTAGGGATATTTTGATGAAGTACAGGATCTCCTTGTGCCAATTGACACCCGTCAGCATCCGAAGGGTGATGACATATCTCTGGGTCTGCCGGTTCTTTGCTGTTGACCCGAACCTGCACTGCTTCCGAAGACTGCATAAGCTTGTGCCGAACACCCAGAACCGATATGGTCAACATGGCTCTGCTGGTGGCGGATCGAAAGTCATGCACAATATCTGACTATGTGGCCGAACGATTCTTCGGACAAGGACTAGAGAGGTTAGTTGATCTGGATTAGGGCTCTAGTGGATCCGGAGCACCCTCACTTCTTCGGGGCTCCCCGCTATCTCTCTAGACCTGACCCAAATATGCAGGACTTGGGTCCTGAAGACCCTGATGCCACTAGCCACCCAAGCTACGAGCAGATTCACTTCTTCGGGAAGCAAGAAAATCCCAGGGGACTAGCTGAATGAAGTTCATCCCGACGAGATGGCTTCCAGACACCCACTATGCCTTCCAAGTGAAGATGCTGGTTGTCAGCCTCAGCCGGAAGTTCAGAGACGGTAAGTACCTTCGGCTGGGGTCGAGGACTTATGCTATTTGTTTCTTTTTCGTTTCATAGCTACTTCAGAATTTTTTAATGTCTGCTTCATTAAGCTAACTCCTTTATTCTGCCTTTTTTCAGAGCTGAACGAGGCCAATTCAAGGATCGACTACGGTCGGCTGGGAGTAAACGCTAAAAGGGTCATCTTAGACCGTGCTCCCGCACTCACTGATCCGAAGGACCGTCCGTTGCATCTACATTCGACGGGCCTTCAGATTGAGGCTGCTACAGATTATCTGAAGCAAAAGCCTTAGTTAGAAAAACGGGATCCTTTGAAGCGTTTGCTGCTGAAGAAGAGCAGGCCGCTCGGACAGCCAAAGAGGTTACTAGGGCAATCGAAGCCTTAGAGGGAGGTGAAGGAACCTCTGGTGCTGCCGAGCAGGGGACATCCGTAAACGAGCCTCAGCCGAGGACTTTGGTAAGCCCTTCAGCTTTTTACAAATTTACTTCGTTTGTTTTTTTTTGTGTGTGTGTGTTTTTTTTTTTACTCAAATCCTTTTTTCCCCCCACTTCTACAGTCTGAGGAAGAGGGCAGAAGGGGAGAGGGAAAAGCTCCTGTACGGCCCGAAGATCTCTCGGAGTCTGAAACCTCGGATTCTGAGGGCATGGACGAGCAACCCCTGGTCCAGAGGAAAAGGAGAAGAACGGGTCCGGCTGTAATGGGCTTAAATGAGTTTGAGATGAGGCCGATGCCTGGCCTCGTCATAAGAGAGCCTGCTAAAGGCAGAGGTAGAAGCAGAAGCAGGGTTCCCAGAGTTCCCCGGGTTCCCGCTCCTCCAACCAATCTTCCACCACTAACCCCTCCTCCACCTCCCGAAACTCATGAAATGGAGGTGGACCAATGAACTCCTGATCTGAAGGAGGTGGTTTAGGAGGCACCAAATGAGGAGAGCGCTGCAAAGCTTTCCCATGATGAGGAGGCTGCCACTAGGGTGGCGAATGAACCTGTTGCAGCTGAGATGGCTGACGAGGCCGAAACTACTGAAGGATTCACTGCTGAGATTCAAAGGGTGACGGACGCCCTGCTGAACCACCAGGACAATGAAGAGGAGGTTGAGGTAATCAACCTGGAAGGAGACCAGCTGGGCTCTAATGAAGAGACGAAGGACCAGACTGCTGAAGGTCCTTCCCCTTCACTTCCTCGTTCCAGAACTTTAGGTCTGAAGAGATGGGGTTCCATGCCCCCTTTATCTCCATCCCCTCTGGCGTCCGAGAGACTATTTGGGGAAGGCATCGAGAGGAGGCTGCGGCCTTCTTTGGTAACTTCTCTGGCTTGACCGAGGTGGATCGGGCACGAGAGTGGTCACTTAAGGCCACTGCTGGGATAGGAGAGCCCAGCAGAAGGGTCCCTGACCCTGCTGTAGACAACCAGCGACTTCTGTTGCAGGTAATTCTTTACTTTCGTTTCAGCTTCTCAATTCTAAAAATTCTTTATTCTTTCTCTTTTCCTTTTTTTTTCTTACTTATGCCTTGGGTCGACAGGTTGTGCACAATCAGACTCTTACAATAGAGTTGATTGACACGCTTCAGACGAAGCTCGAGATCGCGCGAGCTGAACTGGAGCTGGCCGAGCTGAAGGCTAAGGCTGCTGAAGAGAGGGCAGCAGAGGCCCAAAAATATGAACAGCAAGCTGCTGAGACTCTGAAGACTTTCTTTGAGGCCATGGAAAAGGAAGTCTTCCTTACCGTGCTCGAGGGGAAAAAACTGATCAACGAGTACGGGGTAGCTGACATCCCTTCTTTTCGAGCCATAATTGAGCGTCGGATAGCCGATGAAGCCCAAGCCCGTGCTGCCAGCGAAGTTCAAGAGCTTCAGCAGAGGGTAGCTGTTCTGGAGTCACATGCGAGAGAAACTGAGGCGGTTGTTCAGGCTCGGGATGCCCAAATTTCTGAGATTCAGCTCGCTGCCGAGGTCCAAGATCAGACGCTGCAAAGGGTCCAGGCTCAGCTGGACGCCAAGGAGGAAGAGCTGCGCCAAGCTCAAACCACTATTGGGTTGGTTCGGGGGCAGCTACAAACTCAAAATGAAGAAGCCTCCAGGGTTCAAATGCAATTGAACGATGCCCAAGAGCAGCTGAAAGCGCTGAAGGCGTCCTCCTCCCAAGTTTCCGCTGAACTTGAACAATCCAAGAAGAACTTGGAGGAGACTGATAAGAAACTGGCTGAAGTTGAGGCGCAGTTGGCTGTCAGGGTTTATACCAGGGAGGAGTATGCGATGGCATACACCAACGGGTATAAGGTGTCTAGAAAGTTGGCCCTCCATACTGCCCTAGACTTGGACTGGTACCAGTGTGAGCTCTGGGCTGAAGATGCTAACGACCCCCCACATGCTTTTTGCCAGCCAGGCTGAGCTAGACCTTGAGGCCCGTCTGGATGTTGAAGAGCTAGAAGAAGCCATTGAGGCAAAGGAGGCTGATAACCGAGAAAGAGAAGCTCAAACCCAAGTTCAGCCCGCTTCTTTAGCAGTCAAAACTGATGCCACTTTGGAGCCCAGCGGTGCTAGAAGGCCTGATCCTTTAACTAAAGCCTAGAGACTCGGGCAGTCGTCTTCAGTATCTTGCGGATCCACTTGCTCTTAAAATGACAAATGCCGCTTCTGAATGTTTTTTGCCTCTGTTTTTTTCTTCAGCTTGCCTTAATGTACAAACCTTATTTTTGCCTTTGTACGTATTCGGCAGCTGTAATTTTCCGCTTGTGGGCGGCTGCCGTATTTTTTTTTATGTTCTAAAACAGTTTAACTCTGTAGCTTGGTTCTAAGCTTTTTATTCATGTTATGAATTTGCCGCTTTCCTTCTCACTGCTTTGCCTTGAACTTGCGCATTAATCTGATGGTTTTTGAAAAATTAGCTAAGTAAAAAAAGGTCTTCAGTTTTAGAAGTTTTCAGCTATTGAACACTTATAGTGTCTGTTCCCCCCCCCCCCCCAGAATTCTGAAGGTTTTAGATTTCTGAGGTATTTGCTTGCCTTTTTGGTTTTAGACGAAGCTTTTCTGTAATTGATAAAATTCTAACTGTTATGCGATTACTCTTGGTTTTCTGTCTATCTTAATAATGGATATGTGAGACACAAGGCCAACTTAAGGCAATGTCTCAAACAACGACCTTCTGAGATACAAGGCTTAGTGAAAGCAATATCCCATATTCGTCCATGGACTCATTGCCTCAGAGAACAAGTCTTACTGAAGCGTGTGCCTCAGCTGAAAGACCAGTGTTCCTTAATAGGCGAGTTTGTCAGCAATCCAAAACCTAATGCCTTTAATGGCGAAGGCTTCAGATAGGGTTGAAGGAAAACTCTTAAAGAGTAGATAGTGTTCCAGGTGCGGATCTAAGGGTTCTGCTTGGTGAACTGGGTCCCGTCAACTACCTACACAAGGCAGCACATGTAAATTGCCCTCGGGGCTGGCTCGAGGAACCCCCCTCCGAAGCTTAAGTTAGAGAGTGTTTAGATAGAGAAAGTGTACTTAGAAAGATGTATAGAGTATAATGACTTGATTGTCTTACCCCCTTTCCGTTGTACTTTATCCTCTATTTATAGGTGTACCATCTCCTTCGTGGAGAGTTCAGCCTGGTCAGCCCTGCGGGCTAACTCTGTCGGGCTAGTGAGCCCTCCTTTAATTGCTTTCTCGGCAGTGAGTGCGCACCCTGGGGGCTGGGTGATAGTTCAGCGGGAGCTATCCTATACAACTAGCCCCTCAAGAGGTGGTATGAGGTCACTCATGCCGACTCTTTGCTTGTAGGAACATTCTTCTTAACTGAGCCCAGCTGGAAGGAATAGCTCAGCAGGAGCTATCCCCTACAACTAGACCCTCTAGAGTTGGCTGTTCTAAGCGTGTAGCCTTATCGGCCATGACTCAACGGGTCGTCTGGCTGAATTAACCTGCACACTCTTAGCCCCTCAAGTCTCTAGGGTGTTGATGCGCCCTAGAGACTTGGGAGGTCAGGTGCTGTTACTGTTGAGTTTGTTGCCGTATTTTTTGTATGGTGACGTTGGTTCTAGTCTTAAGAAATGACGATCTGGCAGGGAGGAATTTCAATCACTCCCGCTGAAGTTTGAGAAATGACAATCTTGCAGAGAGGATTTTCGATCACTCCCGCTGAAGTCTGAGAAATGACGATCTTACAGAGAGGATTTTCGATCACTACCGCTGAAGTCTGAGAAATGACGAGTTTGCAGAGAGGATTTTCGATCACTCCCGCTGAAGTTTGAGAAATGACGATCTTGCAGAGAGGATTTTCGATCACTCCCACTGAAGGATTTTTTTTTTGGCAGAAATCGTGTTTGCATGAGTGGGACACGTGTTGACGATCCGGGCTGTCAGTTTAATTTTACTGAAGTGACATGGCGGTTTGGCTTTGCCTTGTGTCTAACTGCCCATTTACTTCGTATTAATTTCACCTTCCTCTCTTTTCACTTATTTCTTTTACTCCTCTTACTTTTTCATCTTCCCTCTTCCTTAATCTGTCATTTCATAATTTTCTCTCTTTGCTCTTCCTCTTTCAAGCGTTCGTGATCCTCCATTGTTGTGGTAAGTTCTTGCTTCTTCGTCTTTGTTTTTGTCTTCATTTTCACTTTATTTGCCTTTTCCCTTCTTATTCTTGCTTCTTCACTGACTTGTTTCTTCTTTGTTCTTCTTAATTGCAGGATTGAACTTTCGTCTTGCTGGGCTTTTATTTTCACGATTATTGTTGTACTCTGTTGCTTCTGCAACTTTTTCTTTAAAGGTACTTTACTTTGTACCTTTTGTTGTTTGTACTTACCCTATTTTTGCTTCTTTTTGCTTTTTCTTCGCAAGATTGTGCCTTTTTATTCTTCTCAATTGTCGTTGTTCCCATTTCTTCTCTTTGTTGTTGTATTTGCGTTCTTGGCTTTTTTCTTCTTATTCCGTCATTGTTCCTAAACTGATTCTTTGATTTTCTGGTGCCCCATTGCTTTTTCTTTCCTTTGCGGGCCTGTATTTCTTTGTAGATTTCATAATGTCTGACGCTTCTGATATTCAAAACATGAGTGAGCCTCAAACAGCCACTGGATCGGATTCCTCTTCCCAATCTTATCTTTCAGGTGAGCGCCCTGTGCACACTTCTCCTATTTCTCCTTCTTCTTCTCCTACCCCTATACGAACTGTTATCCCTCCTGACTTTCCCCCCGCTGCGAGCAGAACGGGTACTGCTGCGACTCCTGCTGCTGCGTCTGGGTCGGGCAGTAGTCGTCCCGCTGAGGGTAGTGCATTTCGCCCTTTCCAGCGCAGGCCCCGCCCTGATTTCTTTGATCCTTATTGCGAGCGAGTACTCACGCTGGATGGGATTCCTTTATCCCATCTTTCTCGCTTGAGGCTGCGCGCAATGTGCCATAAAGTGTTAGCTGATGCTGTCAAAGCTTATCCCCCTGACGTGTTTCTTGTTAGCCCCATTCCCCATGTTCAGCCTTTAAACAGTTTTGCTTGGCTTGATGACATGGCTGACATGCATCGATTTGATCATTATGTAGTGCGAGGTGGGAATACTAGGACTCCATCACCGTCTCCTTCCCCAGCAGTTCAATCAAGCAGGATGACTAAGTCTCCTGGTGACCGCTCATATTACGACTGTCAGCCCATTTATGTTGTGGAGCCCGTAGAGGAGGGCAAAACTGAATTCTTTCTGGACGACAAGTGTTATGGGCCCAAGAACTGTGTGTTGGATTCCGATTGGCGCAAGGATGCTGAAAGGCTGGATCTGGCCATTGTTGGGTAGAAGTTCTATGGTTTTAGGGAGGGTTACAAGTTGGTTCTCCCCGCTGATGGTGCGAAGTTATCGGCTCCCCCTGCAGGTCATAATGCTGTGTTTGCCTCGCAGCTAGATTTGGGTTTGAGGTTTCCTTTGGGCCCCATCCTAGAGAAGTTGCTTCGTGCTTTCAATATTTGTATCTCTCTGGTGCACTCTGCTTCCCTTCACACCCTGATTTGCCTACTATGGTTTCTAAGGTTTCGAAGGTATCCTGAGTCCCTACACTTATTCAAGTCTCTCATGAGCCTGAAAAGGTCTGCTTCTGGGACTGAGTCGGGGTGGTACTATGTTGCTCCCAAGGAGAGTAGGGTCTTGTCCTACCGAAAACTTGGACGTTTTAGGGACTGGACTGGCAAGTTCTTCTGGGTGAGGGTGCCTTCCAACTTTGCTGCTCCGCGCAACTTCAGAGAGATTCGTACCAACATGGCCGGGGTCACAGTTTCTCCCTCTAAGCCTGCCCGTGAGACAGAAGCTTTTGAGGCTCTGTAGGGAGCAGGGACTGGTGACTCCAAGTTTCACAAGGTTTGGCTGCCCAACTCCATCCACATTGTGGGCAATGAACAGCTTTATGCCATGCGTTTGTGCCGTACGCATGAGTCTGTTAAGTTTTTCTGCCTTCTGCCTTTCCTTTTCCTTCCTCGTCTTATTTAACTTTTCTGCTGTTTTGTTTTTCAGGCTATGACAAGTTGGATAAGCGTATGCTCGGGGTGGCTGATAATTGGAAGGACCCTTTGACCGCCACTCTTGAGAATCCTCCTCAGCTTTTTGATACGCTGGAGGTGTTTGCGGGCTCTCTAAAGGGTGAGGTGCGCCTGGCTCCCTCCCGCTGAACTGCGGGCTGTTGTTGGCACAGCAACTACTGGTGAGCGCGCTGGGTCCAGCCGTGCTGAGCTTGAGCCTTCGTCCTCTACTGTTGGGAGTAGGCGTGAGACTCGCCCTGCTCCTCGAAAGGAGGCTTCAGATTCTGAGGCGTTAGTGGCGCCTGCTGCTTCTCCTGAGAAGCAGTCTGTCGCGGCTTCCGGCCAGGTGGCACCTCAGACCTCTGCTGCCAAAAGGCAACGTGACCAAGCTTCTGATGAACCAAAGGCTACTGCCGACGATTTTGCTGACAGTGTTCTCTAGTTTCCCTCTGAGGGGATTGAGACTACTGCTACGGGTGAAAAACCCATTTCTTCTGCTGAGCATGTTCTGCTCTTTCCTTCTTCTGTTGATGATACTACCGCTGCGAAGGACACTACTGTTCCTTCTGTTGCAGCTGCTGATTTTCAGCTCCCTAATGAGTCTATCATGGAGCTTCCTAGATTTCTGCCGCGTCCCTACGGGCTAAGAGGGCGGCTCCGAATCGCTTCGTGGGGTGGGCTCTCCCGAGCAGGGGGTTCTCACAAGCAAGGTCGTCCAGTGATTGACTTAGAGGACGATCCGGTGTGTTCTGCCCCCTGCCGGAGATGAGCCAGAGGCAAAAAAGGCTCGCACTTCACCTGGTCCAGACCCTCTTGCCTCCGCATCTGCCAACACTGGGCTTCCAGGTGGGAACGTTGGTGGGGAAGACACTCAGAACTCCAGTGAACTTAACCGTTGTGTTCACCAATTCTTGAGCGATGCCTTTGAGAATCCTTTATCTGTGACCTCACTTTCTACTGGAGGGACTTTCCGCCCCACTAGGGCTATTGAGTTTGTTGTGGTTCCTATTGATGTTCATCTCCGCCCCATACTCTGTCCTGCTGGAGCTGAGAACGCTCCCTTTCGGCCTTTAATGAATGTGACGGTTG